CGAAATCAACTTTGATTCTTACACGAAAAAAAAAAAAAAAAAAAAAAAAGCACACAGAAAGGAAAAAATTAGTTTAGTGAAATTAATCCAAATTTCGTTATTACCTTAGTCAATATTCTTTTCAAATTTATTATTTCACACAAGATATTCACTAAGCTTAACTGAGTAAGATACGAGGCTATTTGGCAGAGGATAGATGAAAGGGAAAAAATTATGTTACACCTGCATTCCAAATAGAGAGAAGAGTCTTATAAAAATCAGTGTTCAAATTATGTTTTATTTGTTTTCAAAAACGATTGAAGTACTGGCGGGAAAAATGATTAATTATTTTTTACCTCGAAGCAAATTTCAGTTTTAAACTCGAATATTATTGAAGAAAATTAAAAATAAAAATCACTTTTTCGTTATATAATTAAAATACAGTTAATTAGAGCGAGTGAAATTTATTCCCGTCTCCTTTTAAGAAAGATTTCCGTGAAAGAGAATGAAAAGTTCAAGGTTGAGTCATAAGTAATTTCCTTCCTTTCTTAAAAGTAAAACGAAAATTATTTATAATATACTCGCACACACATATATCATGGCCTAAAAATTGCGTTCAAGCATGAAAGACTGTCTATATTGACCTCATTATTCATTTTATATTTACACATCTCACTGATGTTAAGCACATTTATATTTAAATATATCGTAGCTGAAAACACACACACATGACAGAAGGATATATATTTTTATGTATCAAGAACAATATTGACGAAATTGTATGACACAATGGAAAAAATTACACACATATACATACACACACACACACACACATATATATATATATATGACAGAAGGACACGTTTTGTCCTTCAGGACTTCATCGGATTAAATCTTATGTTGGTGCGACTACACATGCGCACAACAGAGCGGTGCTGGAGATTTTAGAATTTTTTTAATATATATCTAGCCGAATTCATTTAGTATCTTTTTTCTTTTCATCACTTTTGTTAGTAGGTATCACACATTGTGACAATAGAAAATTCTACCAGTAATGTTGAAATGCTGTAAGAGCCAAGCCGCAATGATTCCAAGTTCCTCTACAGTAAATTTGCGCCCTTCCCCTTGGTTGATTTGACGAAAATTCAGCCATTGGTGGGCTATTTAATGTCGAGCTTTATCTGGACAGACAGTGAGGATCGAACTGATTACTATGTCGTAACGGACAACAAAAATAGCATCGCTAAACATTACCCCCGCGTTGAGGCACATACTAGTGATATTATGTTGAATTTCTTAGCTGAATGATCATTATTATTAAATTATAACTATTTAATTCACATGAAAGTGTCATATTTTACGAGGGTATGCTGAAAAGTTATCGGCCCGAACAATTTCCTAATATTTGGCTAAATACAAAATGTCTGAAAGGAGTTTCTTTAGCACGCAGAGAATTTCTGAGCACCCATACATGAATTAATTATTTGACTTAATTTCAATCCCAATATCTTGCTCTTTGAGGGCATGCGCCCTTCAGGACATATTCGATCATAACGCAAGGATTTCTTAGGAAAGAGTGGAGCGGTTTCCTGTTGCCTTCTCCACGGCCTTGAATTCAGAGTAGACAATATCTATAAATTTGCTTATATATATATATATATATATATATATATATATATATATAAGTGATGGATTTCTATTTATTACTACGACATATTTTATTAATTAAGCCTTATTTTAAGTAGATACCTATATTTGAGTAGACTGTGTATTCATTTGTACCGGATTAAATATTCGAGAAATCTTATTAAAAGAAAATATGAGCGGATATATATATATATAAGTCACCTAACTTGCTAAAATACATTCATTGAATCAACAGTAAATTGTAAAATAAATAAAAGCAGTTGTGATTTACACAATTTCTTTGCCTGGCGAGTTATACTTCCGAAGGTAAGCGAGCGAGCGAGGGTGTGTGTGTGTGTGTGTGTGTGTTTCTCGCTTTGATTCTCACAGCAGACAACAAACATTGAAAAGTCACGTGACCCGATATCACGTGATACGTGATCACTTATTCATTTGCAGAGGAACCAACGTGTTAATGGCATTCGATAGGCGATCGACGCTTTCAATCTAAACACGAATTTAGCACCCACCTCCTGCTGACTTCAAGCTGCCCCGATTTTTTATTTTATTTATTTTTTCGTGGGTTTCGAAATTTTTCACTGATCCCTTCAAATTCTCCTTTTCGATTTCTTAACCGAAAAAATAATATTTGTCAGCATTGTAGTCCTTTGCTCCATATATTTTTTTTCGAATTTTAATACGCACTTAATTTATTTCAAAATTATCAAAAAAATATATTAAAATTAAAACAACCTCCCTCAAAAACACATGCACATAATATATGAATACAAATTATAGGGAAAAAAAAGGAAAAAAAAAAAGATAAAGGAAAGAGAATAGAAAACAATCACTTGCACTTTATATTCTTGTTTTCTTTTTTGTTTTCACACCTAACTATCAAGGGATTTTGCACACAAACACTATAGAATGGATACAGGGGACCCTTTTTTGCAAGGGTGTCTTTCTTCGTTCATTCAGACATAATAAAACACGTACACTCCATTTACACAGGCTTCCAAGTAATGAGGCACTTTAACAAACACATATGTGAATATATCCGCGCCCGAAAAAAATGCACACGAAATGTTTTAAATTATTCACAAATGCCACAATATTGAACCATTTCAAAAAAGATTTTTTTCCTGACAATGAAAATTACAACATTATTAGATTGTGAATTTGTACTATTTATCACTTCTCAATATCAACACCATCGTTTTATGAGCCAACAAAGTTATTAAATGAGCCGTTCGAGACATCTCTCCGTCGAAGCGTCACGCAGGCGAGACCCTTGAAAGGGTGAGTGTCATTTGTATTGATTGCCCTAAACGTTGTAAAAATCGATCACACAGGAAGAGCTATCGTTTTTATCTCGTGATTAGAAACAAAATAGTTCAAGCTAAATAGTTGGAGCTAAATACGATGTCTGCATGTGTGAGTCTTTGAAACTAAAACGGTTGCATTCTCTTTGCACGTCTCAAAAATCTAATTAAATGTACGAATATTTGAATAATCTATGGATCTGTAGGTTATTTTTCAGTCTGCGTCTGTGGCGAATATAACCTTTCATATGTAATGATACATAGTACAGTATAGAATTTGACCCAATTTTTTGGTGAGCTTGCCTCTAACCAACACAAAACTCCAAGGAAAATGATTTCATGAAGGATGTAGAATTGCCTACTGCAAATTGGAAAAAAGTGGGATAGGATTTCGTGGTGTGGCAAGATATTTGGAACTTCTATGACTGAATACAACCAAAGATTCACAACTGAGAGGATACAGTACCCTACAAAAGGTAAAACATTCCCGATGTGATTCTCAATTTCCCAAAAGCTGAGCTTTATATTGGCATTGTAGCTCGAAAGTGTGATCATTTATATATTGTCAAGTGTCAACTAGGAGGCGTTTAGTTTGAAGTTTGTTTCCGATCAATGATTGAATCGGATCAAGGCGAAGTATTGAATTTTCGAGATTCGATTTTCGAACCATCAGGATATTGAGAAAACCCAAAGAATATCCCAAAAGTGTAGGATAGAAAACTGAGTGATAAGTATCTGTCATAGAACATCACTTCTTCCCAACTGAGTAAGTTCCAGCGTAGAGTTTTTGAAACGACACTATTGAAGGCCTTCCAGATGAACTCCTGAAATTGTTGATCAGGTTCAAGACAATTTTGGCTGATCGAAAAATCTCGACTAAAAGAATTACTAAGCTACGAGAGAAATCAAAAAGCTCTCATCCTTTTGATTACCAAAATGTTTCGCTGCCAATCAGAAATAGAGTCAATGCTTCAAAGTCGATTTTCATTGTTGAAGGATAGTTACAGTATTATGATCCGCTGACCAAATAAAGGTCTCAAAATACTGAACAAATTTGAGACCCTGGAGTCAGCAGTAATGGTCAGTGCAAAGACATCTTGGGATTTGATGACTATCTTCATGAGGACCAATGTTTCTCTAACTTGTGTCGAGGCGTTGAAAGAAAAACGACGTGGTAAGTTGAGGATAGTGATTTTTGTTTTGCAGGTCGTTAAGTTAAACGATAGCTGGTTTGAATAATTTGAAGTTTGAATAGTCTGTCCAATCTTCCCCACCAGATTTTGACTCCTCTACTTCCGGTCTCTAAACCTTGAAAGGAGGTGGAAAATAATGTAATTCTCAAATATCTCGGAGGTGATAGCAACAACAGAACAATATTTCATTGACCCAATATCAGAAACGATTTTGGTAGAGTTAAAAAAAAAAACAAAAAAACAAAACAAAAAAAACAAAAAAACAAAACAAAAAAACAAAGACCCCCCCCCCCAACAAAATTGAGAATGATGCCCTAAGTGTGCTGAAAATTGGGTTGAATAAATTTGAAATAGCCTTCATATTTCATGCTTCTAGGGCCGTATGTTGAAATCTGGTCAACTGATTTTATTTTCTAGCAATGATGCTAGATTTATGGCGGTTCGTTACAGAATGTGTAAGAAAAAAAAGACATTTTATAGAAAGCAACGGAAAGAGGTTATAAAATAAAATCTTAATAATTCATTTAAGAAATTCGAGCGTTTTATTAAAGTTAAAAACAAAACCCAAAGATTAATTCCCCGTGTTTTCATGAGAGACTATTAACAAACATTGTATTATTGAATTATATTCAATATCGCACTATGTACCAACAGTATAACAAAAACGAAAAATAATAAAGCATATATAATTTGACAATTTTTCTTTTTAATTAGGTTATATGAATTACATCAGCATTCTAGAAATTACTAGATCGTTTAATAGGATACATAAATAACGGTCAATTTTTGTCTTCTGAAACATCTTTCACGAGATCAGGTTTCGAAAACGCAGGGACGCAAACTAGTGGATACTTAATAAATAAATTAATATATATCTTACCTGGTCTTTTTCAACGAAGTCGATGAAGGCTGTTCTCTCCACTTCGACTGGCTGGCCTTGTCGGTCGTACATAGCCAGTACGAAGTGGAAGAAGTTGCTTTTCCGTAAATTGCTCGGGGGCTGTTTTTCGAAGTGTGCCCTCCCCAGCCCCACGCTAAAAAGAAAGAAAAAACAAAGAAAATATTAAAAATCATAATCAAGAAATTGACAACATAGAGAAAAAAAACTTTTTTTTTTTGACACTCGAAACAATTTACTGTTTATATTTTTGAGAACAATTTATAGTTTATATTTTATGTTGAAATGATCACAACAAAAATGGGGAGATAACTCACTTTTTAATAGTGTTATTCTTTTGCTAGACATGAGAACAGTTACTGGCACAAAGGAAATTTGGTTATTTACTTTGTTAATCGGACAATTAATGAAAGCTTTGCGCAGGATTGTTCCTGACGTGTAGCTCAATTAATATATATCTATATGAATATGAAAGTATTTATTTTTTTAACAAATTAAAATTTATTGAAACAAAACAATTCCAGTTGACCACTGATGACAATTCCAGAACAACGTATAGAGTCTTCAGAAAAGAAAAATATACAAATAAATGCGAACGTCAGCGTTATACTTTTTCAACTTTACTCCGGTCGACTCCGTGAGAAAATTAAAAACAATCCTGGCCGAATTCAAAATCCTAAAATTTTGGTTTCCCAAATTTTCATTACTGTGATTGTTTTCGACGATTTTTTTTACATGATTTTTTGCAACGATTTTTTTATGTACGATAACAATTTTTATAACTTGGAACTAAAGTCATAAATCAAGGACCTACGTACATCAAATTGTCTTTAAATTAGGTGGCGACAAGAATTATCGTAGAACTTTTAAACGGTAACCTTAAATATTAATGCAATACTTAAATGCAGCGAACAATTTTGAGTTCTTCTGGAGTTTATTCTTGCTTATCGCATACGGCAGCCGTATGCCTCGCAAAAAGAAGTCTCCGCCAACAGATTGCAATCAAAAGGCTGCAGTGAGGAAAAGAAAGTCTCGTTCAAATGAAAACCAAGATCAAAAGGCGGCCAGGAGAGCTTCCAATGCTGAGAATATGCAAGAACTTAGAGACACTCAAACTCCTGAACAAGACAAAGGCCCCACTACAAGAACCCTCCGCAGGAGCTAACTTAATTGCCGCCCGATAAGGCCACTTTTAAGCTAGTATTATAGCTTCTGTTCTTCCTTTTCTCGTGAAAAGAAGTTGTGTTGTTTAAATCTTAATAAATTGTCTATTAACCAGTTATTTACTAACGCCTGATGAGATGTGTTGATACACATCGAAACATGATTGCCTTTGTGTAGTGTTTTACATGTTTTTGATCTAATATCCTAAAATAAAGAATATTGCTCTACTTTCGTATGGACACCCTTTTTTAAATTGAATGTTACGAACGTTTGAATTGGATTGGATTCTATTCGTTCTCATTTCACGTGGAGATAGATATATCTCGCACACTATTATAAAGTAATTTTTTGTAGATGCCCGTGTTTCTTTACAAACAAGAAGCTTAATGCCTATTAGAGAATTAATTACCATGGCTCCTTGGGGAATGTGGATGTGCGTGTGGTGTAATGGATAGCTTGTCGGAAGGAGAAATCAGAGAGCAGAGTTCTAATTCCAGTCGAGTTTCATTCACTTTCACGTAAATAAACTTGAGAAAGGATATGAATTCATCTCTTTTCTCCCTTCGTCGGCTATAGTAAGGTAGACTATAATCTTCAGCTTTGGTTGGCAACCAGGATTGGAGAAGGACTATTTAAATTATAGCGGGACAAATACTGCGAGGCTAATGAAAGGACTGTGGAGATTATGATTGATCCAAAGACCGATTTAATCAAACTTCATAGAAAATAATGTGAAATGGTTTCCTGTAATGAACACGTTGGTAAATTTAGTTCTTCTATTAGACTGGCTGACAACCAAGGTTAGAGAGCCCAGCCCATTTTACCGATTATATAACCCATAGCTTGGGGAAAGAAGAAATAGATTCATACCTTACACAAGGAGGTTATGCGAAATAGATACAAAAAAACAAAAACAAAACAACAAAGCTGGAACTAGAACTCTTTATTGACTCCATTTTCCGCGCCGTTAACCGTTACACTACCTACACTTAAATTGTTGAGCCAATAAACGCTTTATTCTTATCCCATGACAAAGCGTAAACTTTTCAAAGTAGCTTATGTCATAAAGACACTCCAGTAGGTGAGCAGAATTATGGGTGGCGGGGAGACGATATATGTTCCACACAGATATTCAAATGTCGTTCTGAAAATTTCTACTTTTTATTTTATTTTATTTTATTACAATAACCCACAAAGTCAGAAACTGGTGTTGATGCCGAGACAGCAGAAACGGAACCTTGTTACTGATAACAGCTGGCTGGTAAAATGGCATCTGACACGAAAATGCGCACAAAGCAGAAGTGTGTCATTGAATTCTTTTCTGAGAAAAAATTGCATCCATAACCTACCGTCGCATAGCAATCGTCTATGTCAACATAACAGAATATCATCTTTGATGGTGAATATCTTTGTTTAAATGTCCATATAACCCTCTGAAGATGGCTCATGTGACCTGAAAGCTTAGGTCAAGGAAGAGCATAAAAATATCCAAATGTTGGACAATTTTTATTTTCTTCCGAAATTAAAGCAATTATACGAGGTTTAGAACGGCTCATGATAAAACAGACATTCATTGTCGGTTATATTTAACAATATACATATATATATATATATATATATATATATATATATATACACACACAATGTGGTAGCCAACAGAATATTGTCTATCTTACTGAAAAGATCTAGTTTATGATCATGATTGAGACAATTGAATTCATTTGAACCAAAAATATGAACTTTGGACAGTTTATCCATAAACTTCATATGGATGCGCGACAATTTATTCGAAAACAGGAAAAATCCAATATATGATTAAATAGACAAATCTTGTCAGTTGGATTTAAAAAAACAAAAACAAATTTGTTTATAGAAATTGTAGCTGCCTCATATATATATATATATATATATATATATATATCCTCTTTTATGAGGATGATGAGACAAAGTATTTTTTTTTATGTGTGTGCGGGAAATGTCTTTGAATCACTGAGGATAAGTTGGTATCAGAAATCGATGCAAAAAAGCATTTCCCTAACACATAGTTTTGTTTTTATTTTAATCAAACTGATAAAGCCAGAGAGAGCATACGCCTTCTCCGGCGAAACGAGTCTTTCATAAAAAGACATCCACTTTGTCTCATTATCCTCTCTTCTGTTTCGGATACTAATAGACACCCTACAAACACACACATTTTATTTTAAGAATGAAAAAGACCACTCCTTACTAAGATAGCCCACCTATACTGAATTTCGTATTCGGAACGTAAACAAAGCAAACTCTAAAGAATTGACAGATTTATTCCTATTCGGACACACCTCTGCCCCTTCAATATATCCACACAAAAGTATCTGATAAATTGAAGTTTAGCATACCCTTTAATATATGTATATATATATAAATGGTTCGTCTTTAAATCTTGGATATTAACATTCCTATATGGGTTTCTTGTAGATATCTGTGGTGCTATGTTCGACCTTTCATGACATTTCTCAGAGCAATAGATATTACGTGACCAGGCCTACCTCCTCTCTAAGCAACATGCAGCAGGTTCTGCTCGGCTGCGTTGTACAAACAGTAGAGAGTAAACCCATTAGCAGTGAGCATTAGTCCCAACTAATACTTAATACATACTAATACTTAACAACTAATCCCACTTGCACATTTTATTTGGTTTATATTTTCACATATGATTTGTATATGTGACTGTTTTTCTTCTCGGGTGCCTATCATGTCAAGGCGATTAACAAACTTCTGTTGTAGAACGATTAACTACTTTGATACTTGATTCTTGTGGCCTTGTGTATAGCTTGTCACTACAATGAAATTTCCACTATTGTACGGAAAATATTTTTTTTCCTCAGAGAATTGAAAGTTTCTGAATGTTCTGCCACTTTTGAAATGTTCTAGTGACGGAAACAAGTGAAAAGATGTACGTGCCAAATAAAGTACAAGGGATGTGGAAGAACCTCCCAAACTAACGATCTTATTTTTTTCATTTTTTTTTCTTAAGCACAGTGTGCCCTTGCGTTGTCATGTTGGAGAATAATGTTTAACAAGGGACACTTTCCACATAATGCTCAGTTTGCTCGATCAGTTTACTAGTAAATATCTGCACTGATGGTCCTTCCCTGTTCCATACCTCGTAATGGACAACACCATTTTACCAGGCACAAAGCAAAGACTTCTGTGGATGAAGTCCTGGTTTAGGTGTCGGCAAGTGTTTCTCATTTTGTAATAACCATTCTTTTTATTGACATGCAAAACCCATTTTTCATCACCTGTAAGAATGCGATGCGAAAATCAAAATGGACACCTAATGATGATCAGGAGATACTTGGTCGAAAAGTTGTATTTATAATAACATCTATATCAACCAAGATGAGAACAATAGTTCGAAATACAAGAATATTGGCAAAAATCAAAACTTGTCATTTCTGGTTAAAAAAAAAAAAAATTTAGATGGAAGAACGTTGTGATTGGTTCTTAAACTCATGAGAAACCACAATGACTTCTTTGAAAGATTTACCAATTAAACTGAAATCTTTTATGAGCGACACAATATCGGATAGAAGAGATGAAAAACTAATTCTTACTGAAGTGTCTTACTCAGAATACCTAGCGGTGAAATACGTAATTACTATCCGAACAGCTTAATATATTAAATATAAATTATTCATGCATGATAATCTCACAACAAAGCTATACGTTCGGCATATAATCAAATATATATAAATAAAATGAAAGAAATTAACAAAGACCAGATCCTTCGACATGGTTTGCTCTATTGATAACAAAGAAACATCAAAGTCGGAAAGCAAATGTTGGCGATATAACAACGTGGAACATGAGAAAAGCGAGTGTGATAAACGTACGAAACACATTACAGGTTTGCTACCTCAACAAGCCATACTGGGGATCGTACTACATACAAACCATTGAATCACTCTGTGCAGGAGAACTAACCAAGAAAATAGGCAACCGCCAAACTATAGAATACCATACGTTATTTTTGTTTTCTTAGTGACCCGCCATTAAAACCTATTGTACTGTTATTGTTGCGATGATAACCAAAAAGAGTGTACCGATGTCACAAGCGCCGACATTTTCGTTGGAGTTCGTTGCCATATGCCAAGTCTAGATTAATAAATTACATTTTTTTCTCTGTTACTCTCTGGCTGGTCAAGTAGTATTTAGTGTCGATTTCAGGCCCTACCGCCACCCTTGTTTGGCAATCAATATGATGAACTAGATCGATAGAAAAGGATCAGGGGCAATCATTACGGTTGGCGTCACCAACCAGCACTTTTTGATAAGGTTTGTACAACGCCTCGCTCCCCACCCAGCAACCCAGATAATTTTGGACAGCGGTGTTGGGTGCCCCGCATTTGTTTTATTACAATAAATCTATTAGAAAATAGAGCGACGGCTGCATTGGCTTTTACATGAAAATCGTTTTTCTAACCGAACAGACGCGACAACATATACAATACAGAAAGAGAGGGTAGCGAGACTGTGTGTGTGCGTGAGTGTGTGTATATGCCAGCGACGCACGCACACATACGTGAGGGATGCCGGAAAGTTTTCAGTCTGACAAAGATGATCTACCAATGTGAAAAAAAAAAATTCTAATCGTTTGGTCAGATTGTGAAGTTATCCCGGCCTAGAATTTTGCTTATCAGCATCCCCTCAAACTGTTCTGTGTGTGTGTGTGTGTGTGTGTGTGTTTGAGAGAGAGAGAGGAGCACAGGGAGAGGAAAAGAGAGGAAACATGGGGCAGAGGGGGGGAAAAGAGAGGAAACATGGGGCAGGGGGGGAGGAAAAGAGAGGAAACATGGGGCAGAGGGGGGAAAAAGAGAAAACATGGGGCAGAGGGGGGAGGAAACATGGGGGGCAGAGGGGGGGGAGGAAAAGAGAGGAAACATGGGGCAGAGGGGGGAGGAAAAAGAGAGAAACATGGGGCAGAGGGGGGGGAAAAAAGAGAGGAAACATGGGGCAGAGGGGGGAGGAAAAGAGAGGAAACATGGGGCAGAGGGGGAGGAAAAAGAGAGGAAACATGGGGCAGAGGGGGGGGAGGAAAAGAGAGGAAACATGGGGCAGAGGGGGGGAAAAAGAGAGAAACATGGGGCAGAGGGGGGAGGAAAAAGAGAGGAAACATGGGGCAGAGGGGGGAGGAAAAAGAGAGGAAACATGGGGCAGAGGGGGGAGGAAAAGAGAGGAAACATGGGGCAGAGGGGGGAGGAAAAAGAGAGGAAACATAAGGCGGATAGGGTAGAAAGAATCTTGTGATAAACAGAAGAATTAAGAAATGACGTGAGGGGAAATGAAACGATAGAGGAGAGAAAAGCAATGAACGGAAATACGTGGAGAGAGAGAGAGAGAGCAAGAGAGAGAGAGAAAGAGCAAGAGAGAGAGAGCCTACGAGACTAAAGTGAGAGGACATATTTTTCGTACAAATCTCATACTTATTTGTCAACCGAGATATGCAAACTGATGGGCATTTTTATTTCAATTCAGTTCAAATGAATGAAATCAAAAGGCACGTATATATTCATACTTGTTCGAAAGCCTACTTAAAGGATAATTCTTTGTAGATTACATTATTATTTTTCTGGCATCGGATTGAATATATTCTTCAATCTGAAAAGAAAAATAATCCTTCGGAATACAGCATGGCAGCAGACATTTTATGAAAAGAGAAAATTCTATAGACCTTTTTCCTGTTAAATAATAGACATTTTATTTTAGAGCACAAAAAATTGTTATTTGAATCTTTGCTTTGTATGCACACACACACACATATATATATATATATATATATATATATATATATATTAGAGTTTATATAGTAATGTGTGATATAGCTTGAATGTGTTTTTTTCGTTCAGTAAGCGTCAGTATAATGCTACGTGTGTGTGTGTGTATATATATATATATATATATATATATATATATATATATATATATATATATGTGTGTGTGTATATAACAACATTTTTCCGAAGATGCAATAAGATCAATTTCGAAATGAAATATCCACCACCATCTACATTGAAACACTCAATCATCTTCCAAATATTTACTGATATCTGTCTGGTATGTTCGAAGTCATACGAGACAGCGCATTCAATTAAACAGGTCTTCGACTGTCGCCATTTTCTCAGCGTTCATTAGAATCGAATCATAAAAATGCAGTTCAATGATTGGTTTCGGTGTATATACATTAAGCATCTAAGTAAATTCAGATAAATATCTCAACTCGTAATATTTCGATTTCTCAGTTGAAAGGAAACTACTACAGCAGACGATTTTATTCACTGCTTCGTTCAACTTCAGCTTTTATTCCATACAAATACGTATATTTGAAATCAAATCCAAATTATACGATGACCGATGAGATCGTTGGAAATACTGCTGAGTCTTGCATGCCAATTTAAAGAGCAATGTCGTTACGTGGCAGTGCCCAACTCCTTTCCAGTTATTCTGAGTTATGCAGTGTACCAGGGCCGGGTTTAGATGAAGAGAGACTCTGGACTGTTCCATGTGAGGCCGCTACAAAACCCTCATTCTCACGTGAAGAGGAAACTGGAAGAGTGTTAAATTAAAATTTGAGTAAAGCCAAGGATGATGACGGGTGTTTAAAATTACTGAAGGGTTTTTTAGAGTTTACAATGCATTATGACAGCATGTGTAAGAAAGGACTATGACAGTTTCAAAAATACACACCTTTGCTGGAGCCCCCCTAGATTTTGAAGCCATAAACTTAACAGGTTAAAGCCTAGAAGTAAATCCAGCATTGGATGTACCAACAAGAAAAAAGTAATGCCCTGAACTACTGAGAGAGCTGAATACAGCTATATCTTAAATTGAACCAAACTGCTGCAGTCGGAATTCGAAATTGGCTAGCCGATTCCAGTTTTCGTTTTAACTGTTTGACCAAATCCGTACCATTGGGATACAGAGTTAGTGAAAACAAATTGTGTAGGGGCTGTCGAAAGAGAGGCTCATCTAAATGCACATTTGTTATATTAATAAATGGATAAAGAAAAAAAATGAAATCTATGCTGAAACGATAATATAATACATTTTAATATTAGCACAGGTTTCATGTCAGTTTCCGAATAATGATATTTATTAAGCTTAACTAGCACAAGTCCTCCAATGTGGAGCATTAAGAAAATGAAATGCACACCATTAACAATAGCCTAACCAGTCCAGCGTTGTTTGAAAAATGTTTAGCAATAAAACATCAAAGAGTTAATCGGAATTAAAACATTCGATAGTAAACAAACCCAGACACTTTTTTTTCGACAAATTCCTTCAGGGCTTTAAAGACATTAAACATTAATACAACCAATCAAAAGAAAATTTAAGATAAACACTGAATTTAGAATGTTATAAATAAACACTTAGACATGGAAGAGTTAAATACAAAACGGGAAAAAAAAAAAAAATTGAAATGAAATCCATAATGACCGACATCATTTTCAAAAGGGAGACAACTTAATACTTGAGCAGCCTGCGGGAAAATGTAAACAGACGCGGCCGACATTTTGAAATTGATATCGTCTAATAATCGGACTTGCTGCTCCAAGTCAATGTTATGACGTACTCGGGTTTTTCAGTCGAACGAAGGAAGTAGGAAAAATAAACAGAAATTTGGATAAAAGAAAGCAGAAATCCCCACTTCAGACAAAAGAAAATAATACTAGTAATAATGTAGGTTGATTAAGTTATTTCAATAGAATACAGCGAAATATCGGAGAGATGTAAATTGTCTGCGTGCATGTGTGATCATATAAAAATGTAACAGGCATATACGTATGCAAAAGTTTCACAGTGATATACACGATCATTAGTCGGTTAAAAAGAAGTCAGTTCCTTTTTTTTTAAAAAAAAAAAAAAAAAAAAAAAAAAAAGAAGAAATTAAATTTTAATCTGCACTTAATTGCAATTTATATATATATATATATATATATATATATATATATATATATATGAATAAAACAAAAAGGAAAACTTACCAAATACCAAAGTATTTTGTCCCTTGAGGTACTTTATTTTGATAAAGTACCTCAATGGACAAAACGCGTTGATAAAGTAGTTTTATTTATATTGTCTAATGCGGTGGAGTAATGGATATGGACGCGGATTGAGTTGAGTTCGAATCCCGGTAAAATCCATTACATCCACTTACGTGCTAAAACCCTTGGGAAAGGTATGAATTTTCTTCTTCCCCACCCCAGCTAAGGGTAAAAAGGGGAGAAGATGCCTTGGACGGCAACTGGTCTACAGAAAGAAATGGCAACCTACATCGGGAAAAAAGATACATGATCGCCTAAGCGTGTATCACGCCTGGCTGAATATGTATAAATATAGAATTGTGTGTGCAGAACATGAACTTGCTTCTATCGTTGTTGGAGATTTTGGAATTATCCAAAAAATTATCGCATAAAGACTAAAAGAAACAAATATCCGAGGAAGATTCGAAACCATCCAAATGATGGCATTGCTGAAAATCGAACATAATATTAATTTGTTGTATTACCACAATATCTCGTGTAAATCGCCACAAGTTACTACTGAAGTAAACACTAAAAAGTCTTTGAATTTAATTAAATAAAAATCTTTTCTCTCAAAGTAAAACATTGTCATTTTATCATTTATGATTACAAATAGTCGCAGACACTTATTCTTATTTCATGTTACTAAAGTTCAGTCAATACAAGGCCCATGAAGCACTCAAGGTAGAGGGCCAGTGATTGGCCTGAATATGAACATAAATGCGGAGGAAGTGAAAAAGGAAAGTTACGAGGATATGAGGGCTGTACATTAGATGGCGTAATAGTTATCGAGGCGGAAAGTGGAATCGGTAGGGTTTACTACATGTCCCAGTCTCCAGTGGTCACTTTCATACCCCTAGCTAAGAGTTAAATATCAGGGTAGACTGGACTTTTTAGCCTTGAATAGTAGCCAATATAAAAGAAGGAAAAGTCTGAACTCAAAACTGGAGAGAAGCCAACGTGAAACCACTCCCCTCTCTTCTGCCCCCAAGAAGTTCTGGCAATTCACTTATAATGAAAAGGGTTGCGTATCGTAGAAAGAATCATGATTATATATATATATATATATATATATATATATATATATATATATATATATATATATATATGTATGTATGTATGTATGTATGTATGTACACTTGTTATAGAAAATATCCCTCCAGTGAGGGTTTTTTTTTTTTTTTTCCCCACAAAATATTTTTTTTTTTTTAATAATGCTACTTATTTCAAAGTTCCGAATATGCCTATCAAACCGTAATGGACTTTATTTTATTCTTTTAACGAAGAAAAACAAATAAGAACCGTGAGTTTGGTCGGGACTTAAAAGAGGCTGGATTTCCAGTCCTCGAAGTTACCGCTTCACACATAAGCTCTTTGTTAGAAATAGTTTTAACGCAACACGTGAGAGAGAATATACGAGAGAGAGAAGGAGAGAGAGAGCGAGTGACAGAGAGAGAGAGAGTGACAGAGAGAGTGACAGAGAGAGAGAGAGTGACAGAGAGAGAGAGAGAGACAGAGAGAGAGAGACACAGAGAGAGAGAGAGACAGAGAGAGAGAGACAGAGAGAGAGAGAGAGAGAGAGAGAGAGAGAGAGAGAGAGAGTGACAGAGAGAGAGAGACAGAGAGAGAGAGAGTGACAGAGAGAGAGAGAGAGAGAGAGAGAGAGAGTGACAGAGAGAGAGAGCGCAGAGAGAGAGAGCGGACAGAGAGAGAAAGGAGGACAGAGAGAGAAAGGAGGACAGAGAGAGAGAGCGCGAGACAGAGAGAGAGAGAGAGACAGAGAGAGAGAGCGCGAGTGACAGAGAGAGAGAGCGCGAGTGACAGAGAGAGAGAGAGCGAGTGACAGAGAGAGAGAGCGAGTGACAGAGAGAGAGAGCGAGTGACAGAGATACAAATAAGACAGTTGTAGGAAGGCCGTTTGGTGAGCGCATGTATAGTAAAAGTGATTCGCGTGCCAAACTAGGAACAGCAGATAAATGTTTACTGAACAAATATTTTGTGGCGCGATGCGAGGAGCGGTGTTACTGGTGGCGACTACATGCCGTGCAATTAGTCCGTAGCTTTTTTGTGTATACAGCCAACCTACTTCCAACCGTGAGGCCTGGTAGACTTACTCGCTGCGAGTGTGAAAAATCATTGCCGGCAGCGCCGATGTGCCGAGTCACCCAAGTACAACACCCATATAATGACACAGAGGGAGAAATTTGGGCAGCTTTTAAGGCCTTATAATTCCCTTAGTTTGTTTGACGTATCCCGCTTAACAAAGATATGTTTTCTTTGTCTATTATGAAGAACAACATTTGACCTGTATCGTGGTCGAGGCAGTTACTTACTTCTCAATAATAAAAGCTAGATATTGTGTGTGTGTGTGTGTGTGTGTGTGTGTGTGTGTGTGTGTGTGGTGGGAGGGCCAGAGAGACCCTCTCTACCAGGAAGATTGTGTTGCGCTCATCTTCCTATCCTTATTGCCATTTGTCTAACCGGTTCTCCCACCAGGCTTTTCTGGTGAGGAGGGTAGCTAGATACTCAGCAGAATTAAAAAAAAAAAAAAAAAAAAAAAAAAAAAAAAATCAAAAAAGGGAATTAATTTTCTTTCTTTGGTGTGGAGGGGGGTCAACGGCCATGGGGTAGACTGCGCTCCATACCTCTGTTTGCAGCCAGTACGTAGATGACGCAGCATCATCGCGCAGAGGAATTCCTAGACTTAAATGAATGACTAGAGTGGAGAGATCACCCGAGGGAATCAGCAGTCATGTGTCTGTGATCAAAGCGAGCCTTCAATTTGGCGGACATCGGCTATAGTTTGACCTAGAGCAGGATGGGCTCCGACAGGTCTACTTGCCCAAGACACGCCACGCACGAATATATACTTATCCGGATTACGAATTACGAGATGCGCAAATAACACAACGGATAGCAGCGAACCGAGATTAAATTCCGCCCGTGTCTACTGTGTTTACTTTCGCACTAACACCCTTGGGAAATGTATGAATCAATCTCTTTCCCTTCAGCTATCAGTTAAACAGCAGCCGAGACTGGGCTCCCTCTCTCCCACCAAAGAGGACGACACTGAGTTCAAACTGTAACAATGTAACGGGAAACAAAACTTCATATGTCCCTAGAATCCTAAAAACTCCCAGAAAACCCTGTGTGACTAGGATAATGATATTTCTGAAATTTACCAATTCCAATTGGAGAAACTGGCGAATGTGTAAATTCTCGTTAACGTAAAGTAGGAACAAATCGACCCATAATTCAAAAGTAACATTTATCTATTCTAGAACTACACAAGAGAAACCACAAAAAATTTTGAAATGAGTAGTTTTTTGGCGATTTACGCTTATAATAAAAATATGATAGGGACTATATTTAGGGGCTGATTCGTGAAAATAATTTATAGTATACGATCCTTGGTAACCAGAAAGTTTTAGCAAATTCTCCTTAAGCAACTCAGCGCTGAATTTGTTTGGAATGTAATGGAAGACAGGCTAGTTTCAAGACATCGATGCCCAGGTCACGAGAGTTTGAAGAGAATAATAATCATTTCCTTTGCTTTTTAGACTGAAGCGCTTAGGAAATAAAATTTACTGATCAAAGACAAAAAAAAGTCAAAATTTTATTACAGTGTAATGAAGATGAAGTTGCAGAGACTTATGACCTAGAAAAGACAATCTATATTTAATTAAATAATATTAATTATATGTTAACACCTTAAAATACAAGGAAAATGCGAATCTGTAAAAAGGAAATTATTCATTTGAAATTCAAGATCGATTTTCTATTAAAAAAACAAACCGCATATTTTTGTAGCATAAACGCCAAGATTAACCGATGACAGAAACATGGTTAAAATCTAAAATATAAAGTTAAAAATTAGTGACCGACTCTTCCACCAAATCGAATCCATCATAAATAACTAATTCAAGTATACACATACTTGGCTTATTTATGGCTATAACGTTTAAGATTTCCTATAATTGTTAAACTTTACATTTCTTTTATACGAATACCAATTTTTGATCTTTATTGAAGATTTGTTAAGTTTAAATATCAGTATACTTCCTGCCTCCCTCTATCTCAATTTGATTACGTTAAAAGGAGAAGAAAAAAAATCCAAGAAAATACATTAGCTTCAATGCACATCACAATATACAAAATGAACACATGAAAACAATCTGAAGAGAGAGGAAAAAACGAAGTGATTTACGTTTCCTCAAAGAACAAAAAATAAAAAATAAAAAAGTAAAAATAGATAAACAACAATAAAAAGGTCAAGGGAGATAACTCAGTTTTATCAAAACATACTCCGCCATTTTTAAAATCAATAACGAACTTAATGATACACAAGATGACTATATCAAACAATACTTTGCAGAAACATTACTAGTCACAACGTTACGGAGATAGTTTATTTTCCTCTGTATTCACGTGCTTGATTGAACTCCAGTCGTCTAGGTAAACAAGTTTTTAATTAAATTACAAAAGATCTGCCTGCCATTTTTATGTTTGTAATCTGCTTGTTTAGAAAAAAAAAAAAAAAAAAAAAAAAAAAGATTTATGCTTTTAAGAGATCTGCGGGGACTAAAATTCGCTGAATTTTCATGACGCTTTTACTGATTAGTTAAAGTGTGCATGACAGTAGCCGACCTCAGTGATTAGCAAGCTCAAGTTTGTCAAAAGAACTTTGTAGCCGAAGCTTCAATTACCGCTGTTATTGTGCTTTTCGTGTGTTTTATTATTTTTTTTTTCTAGTAGTGACATCCGTGCGTGACAATACACGGAGTGAGCGGATAAAGATTTGAAACGATTAGAACAAAAAAAGAATGATCATCATATTTAATAATCTTTAAGATTCGTTGTGACGAGCTCAAGCAGAAATCTAAATGTGATATCAGGCAAAGCCCCGTTGCTAAAATGACTAGAGCGCGTGCGAGATCAGAAGTCGTCGAACTGCGAACGGTCTCAGATTTTTTTTTTCAAAATCACAAAAATTGAAAGGATTCACTTAACGAGCAAAAGAAAAAAAAATGCTAGGATAGAAAAGCCATCAGTTAGGATTATTGTTCATTTTTTTAAAAAAAGCTTTAAACCATCAGATGTAAAACGCCGAAAATCTCATTTTGTTGTACACTGACATGATAGTTCACCCTTTTATTCTTAGTTCTTTTTTCCTCATTGTCAATCTCGCTTTGGTGTGGTTCAGAGGTAAAAGGAATTAGTTTGAAATTGAACCACAAGATTGATATTAAATTCATGCGAATTTTATGGAGGAAACATCTAAACATATTCCATTTGTTCAGCTATTGTTATGCACTAAGTTCTACACTGTCTGACATTCGTGGACCCACGTTGTTTCCAGTTTCTGTTCTTCATAAGTGGTCATCCATCTTGTCAGGAGTCTCAAACTCAAGGGCATAAAAGGAGCCATTATTTTGCTTAACAGAGAAATGTTAGTATATTTCTATAGTGAAGAGAGAAGCTAGAGAGATGTCCGCGTGTGAAAGAGAGAGAATCGGAGAGAATCGGAGAGAGAGAGAGAGGGAGAGAGAGAGGGGGGAACCGAGAGAGAGAGGGGGAACCCAGAGAGAGAGAGAGAGAGAGAGAGGGGGGAAACCCAGAGAGAGAGAGAGGGGGGGAACCCAGAGAGAGAGAGAGAGAGAGAGAGAGGGGAACCCAGAGAGAGAGAGAGAGGGGGAACCCAGAGAGAGAGAGAGGGGGAACCCAGAGAGAGAGAGAGAGGGGGAACCCAGAGAGAGAGAGAGAGAGGGGGGAACCCAGAGAGAGAGAGAGAGAGAGGGGGAACCCAGAGAGAGAGAGAGAGAGGGGAACCCAGAGAGAGAGAGAGAGAGAGAGAGAGAACCCAGAGAGAGAGTACAGCCATATGTATGCAAAAAAACTGACAAACGAATAGATAGAACCCTAAAGTGTTTGACGGACATATCAGTTTGTTTTATGTGTACGCTTATTGAAAAACGTGTTTGTAACATAATAAAATCTACTTCGACAATGTATGAAATTAGTTTGAACAAATAATTCCTGAAGAAAGACTGGGTTTTTTGTTTTTTTTTTAAAAAAAAAAAAAAACTTTATAATCTTATCAGTTTCATAAATTTATTTCTTGCCATCTGAAGCTGCGTTTACAGAATAGAAAAATACAATGTAACATTCTCACAAAAATAAATTTAAGTCAATTTACTCAAACCAAAATTGTGATCATGCTCAATATTCCGTGTCTACTCTAGGTGTTGGAGATCATGATTCTCCACAACTTCCTATCCTTTGTAGTTCTTAGCAATGTTTGTATTTTTACTATCCTTCCAACCCCCTGTTCTGCCAAACAAAAGGTTGGTTACTCGCCATTTCCATTTGTTCCTTTTGCTTTCCCTGTGAGTGTCAAAATCTCAAAGCCCTCCTTCCTCATTATGTGCGCTGGACATTTTAACTCTCTCATTCTAGGTTTAAGTACAAGTGTCTTTTTCGTACCATTTCCCCTTGAAACTTTTTCGTTGCTCATATTACGTATATGGAATTCTCAGCATTCTTCTGTAAAAAAACCCACATCTATTGCCTCAAGTTTCCTCTTCATCTGTGACGAAATTGCCCAACATTCAATGCTATTATAGAAGAGGACCGATATTACGCAACAATCCAGCATTCTTTCCTTTGTCTATAACAAAGATTCCTCGTTTCTTAACTCTTTGAGCCCTGCGTTCTTGAACAATTTTAACATTTTGCCTGAGCTCCTGAGTCAAAATTCGCAAATAATTGGTATGTCGTGTTTTACGGTAGTCATAAAAATAATTACAAGTGTTTACCCACCTTTCAACCGGTGGCTGGGCATTACGTCATTTTTCTCTACCACCGTTAAAGCGGTGGTCAAAGCTCAAAGAGTTAAAACTTTGTTTTGCCTCGGGAAGGCATCTTATGCTCTCCCAATGCGCCTTCGGATCGACTTGGAAAGCATCATATACACAGGAATATCTTGTGTAGAGATAATTATTTTCAATAGGATGGAGCATTTCCTGAATTTTATTGTCACATCGCATAATGGTTAGCTAAAGGCTGGGTTGAATAGCTATAACATTCAGGAGATTCAGCGCCGGATCATTTATTTTCTATGGTAACGAAATCAGTATTACAAGAGTGTATATATATATATATATATATATATATATATATAGTGACCAAGTAAATGGTTAAGTAATAACAAAAACCAGGTTTTCAGAGATATCTTATATTAAACAGTTAAGTACACCAGAAGAGTGTTACACGACTAGTAAGAGTGTATCGAATAAAGTAGCGCTCAATCCAATCATTGTTCACTGTTTCCCGAACCTTCTCCCCTAAACTTATAGTAGGTGAAAAAGTCTAACATACCCTTAGAGGGAGGACACCACAACATAAAGCGAGTATAACGGATTAAGTATTAATTGTAAGACCAGATTATCTGGTTGACAGTAAAAGGAACAGCTCACATACGAATTACAAATTGGTGATACCAAAATTTAATAAGTACAAAATTTGGAGTTTAAGATAATGTATTTGAAATACATAATATTACATATTTTACATTAAAATGTAATATATATATATATATATATATATATAATTTTAAGAGATACATTGGTTCAGGTTTGCAACTCCGTCTCTCGACGATGCGAGTAATGATCCGTTTCAGAAAAGTAGACCTTTTGAACACCATTTGATGAAAGATTCTCTGTTTAAACTTTATGAACATTTGATTCTATTATTGCTGCTATTAACAAAATGCGCATATTTTTTTTAAGAGATGGAGATTTCTTTGTACAATTAAAAAACATTTTATTTAACTTAATTTTCTATAGCAATGGATGTGTGGGTTGTGTGATGGTTAACGGTTCCGAGTGAGAAATATAACATCGCGAAAAATATGAATCATCTATTCTCCCCCCATATGGGTTAATTAGTAGAGCAGACTGTGTTTAGTCGTGGATGTCGAGAAGCCTAGGAGGAAAACTGAATTCGAAACTCATGTTATACAAAGATGGTTAGATATAGGGGTACAGATACTATGTTTGTAAAATAAAAAAAAAAAAATAGATTTCAACAACTATGGATGATCCCACTATAAGGCGATGATCTAGATTGCTGTTGACAGTAAAACAGTTTGGGACGAAGGAAGTATGGTATAGGTATTTTCCTGTTTTCTTAGGGACTATACACCTGACGAAGGTTGACAAAACTTTCAGCCGAAACGTTGTGTTAATAACATCAAAAAACACGAACGAGGAGTTCAGGTGGCTAAAAAAACAAAAAAAAAAAAAAAAAAAAAAAACAACAAAAAAAACAAAAAAAACTATAAATTTTCGATTGTTAAAAAAAAAATATAGATTCAGAAATATTTACATCCAGTTCTCTTGATTTTTTCCCCAGATTAGTCGACGTTTTATCAATTTAAATTATATCTCAAATCTTCTTAATACAAATATAACAGGGAAATCATAACTTCTTTTCAATATCATTTGCGATTACGAAAGTTAGGACTATTTTTACTGGTATTATATTCTCGCCAACATATTTTCGTTCTTAAAAAAAAAATTATCGGTTACGCATCCTCGTCTTCAATATTTGTGGTAAAACATGCAATTTTGGGGCGTTACTCAACACCAATAAGCAAACATGCTTCGTGTTAACATGACGGGTTATCTAAGTTAATTATTTTTTCCCCTGTTAACTTTTTATTCAAATTAGTGCTAAAAAAAAAAAAAAAAAAAAAAAATTTTTTTACATGCAACAATGGAGTTCATTGGATAGTTATATATGCTAAATAACTCATTGAGAAAGTGTAACCAAAGATACTGCAAAGTTACTTTATGCCGTAATGTTTTTTTGTTTTTTTTTCGAATTGATGATACACAAGATATTAACCAAAATACAATTTCACATATACATTCACTTAAGTAATAATCACCAAAATATATGTATCGGTCATACATCCCCATCTCCACTATTTGGAATATATTCTGCTGCTATGGCAACTTGATAAATTAATAATTGATTGCAACCCTTAAACTTTTTCTGTTTCACTTTATGAATCTGTCGACTCGTGTTATATATGCCATTTCGACTCGAATACAAATTAACAATGAAAAGATAACATTTAGTCAGTCAAATTAATGAAAACTGAATAATGTCATATAGTAGCTTTTCCAGCAGACGACAGAGAATATTAAGGAAACTTGATGTCATATACTCCAGCGAAGTGTGACAATAGATTAATAAATTAAATATGTTGGACAAAGGAGAACAGGTACTATACCTCCCCACGGTGACACGATATGACACAAGGTCAGTTTTAATGACGCACATATACGGGCCAAAACAAAAAAATTTCCAGTACTGGCGAACAGTCACAGCGAAATAGATATCCACCAATCCTACCTCTTTAATGAGGTTGGCATCCCCGGGACTAAGCCTCCCTCATAACTTTAAGAGGAGAAAACAGATACTACAATTTGATCCGACGCCATAGACGGTACATTTTAATCTTTCTAATAACTATTTATATTATAGTATATATGTCATTTCTGATGGGTACTATGCAGATAATTATAAAAATAGCAACAACAATAATAATGTTGAAATCACAATAATTCAACGTTAATGCAGTTTCAACGGAAATAATAACTGGGTATACATCTACCCTATCAAGTAACCATACTGTCGGGTAGCTATGTGCATAAAACTAATAGTTTCTAGTCTTCCTTCTACTCAGCTTCTGACGATGTAATTAGACAAGCAACACCTTTGCTGACAATAAACACGCGTTTAACTGCCAAGATATTTGTACTTCTTAGCGAAATTAGTTTCTCTGCTCGCCCAGAGGCTGTAGCATTGGTCTTCGCCGCCGACGGGGGATCGAGAGACAGATAACAGATATTAATGCAAGCAGATATAATAGAGCCATACTCTTCAACATAATTGTGGGCGAGGCGGAGTTGATGAAGAGAGGGATACAAGACCCTACAATTGAAGTGGCCTTAAAATCTCCACTGTCAGCCTAACTCCGCCGCAGCCTGATTTAGTTTCTCGATGGCCGGAGCACCGCGCAAACTCACAGATAAGACTATTTCCTTTAATAAAGAGAGAAAGATCAGCAACCAGCTACCCCCCTTTTTTTAGCGACCACCGCAGCTTTTACTACATCCAACTATCCCACTACATAAATGGTTTTTCTTTGCCTTCCTATCTAAATTAGAAATTATCCCGCTGGGACGATATTCTTAATTTGTTGTTTTGGTGATAAAGAGATTTATTTTTCTTGTATTAAATAGATATAGTAGCTTTTTATTATTATAAAATGAAAGCAGAATAAGAATTTAATGGTAATTTGACAGAGTTGTTTTAGGCTATGGATTTTATATATATATATATATATATATATATATATATATATATATAGTGTGTGCATGAAAAAAGACAAAAGGAAAACTTATCTTAGTCGACGTGTTTCGTCCTCTGAGAGACTTTAACAAGGTAAATGCAAGGATGTTTTTGTGACAAGTATTTTTATACAAGACCAAAAATGCTTCTGGTTTTTCAAAATCTTTTGTATAAGGAGGTTCATGAATATTCATAAGGTTGGCGGAAAAGTCACGCAAGGCCATGAACGTAGGCAAGGCCATGAACGTAGGGTGATAGTGATCAATGCTTAATAAACGAAAGTGAGCAGGATATATATATATATATATATATATATATATATATATATATATATATAGTGTGAGTAAATTAGTATTTCAATTATTTTGAATTGGGATTGATTTATCCGTTATGTTTTGAATAACATGAGGTTATGGAAATAAGTTTTTTCTTTTTTTTTGATTTTTTACAACATATACGGGCCGGCTAAAGGTACTGACAACACGGGCAGTTAGCCGGGGCGCCATCAAAACCGAGGGCGCCAAAACATGTGTTTGGGATCATCCAGACAAAAAAAAAAGTGGGGTAATAAAATTAAATAAAAAAAATTAAAAAAAAATTCTTGGATGGAGTAAAATTCTTGAGAATTTAATTATTAATTCTTTGTGTTATGGTGTCGTGATCAAACACAATAAGAGAAAAATGAATGCGCGGGAGTTGTTCTCAATTTTTCAGTTTTTTTCTTTGTGAAAACTTGTAAGCGCGCCGAAGCTCAGTAACTGCAGGGCCGACTATATATAATACATGAAACATTTTCATATCTTCCTTTTTTTTTTTTCGTTGAAAAATAACAAAAACCATTAAGTAAAATATCTTACTACTTCATGGTTTTCAATCCTAACTGGGCGCCACTATACTTTCGGTCTTGTGACACATCTAAGCGTAGCTTAGAAAATCACTTTACTACTTCATAGTTAGAAGTTTATCACAGTGAATTTAACTAATTAATCTGAAACGAATCTTAGGCGTATGTTATATGAAAAGATTCTTAAAAAAAAAAATTCAATTTTGTGTATTTATTTGTTGATAAAGTTTGAGATACGATTCATATCTCAAATATATTACATCAGGTTGAGTCAAATAATTTCCGTTTTTGGAAATCCATTGTAATGACGAATGCATCCAAACTACTAATATTTCTGTGAAGAGAAGTTTCCATTATTTACACTATACAGGGTGCGATGGATAAATTGTCTGAATTACACAAACCGTTGACATCTCATTTTAACAGACATATTTACCAAACTTACACAAAAATATTTTGAAATACTACAGAGTAAATTTATTCAATAAAATCGCCATTGGTTCAACCACGGCTTCCAAACAACTTCGGAGGCTCCTGCAACTATTCTGGGAGGTGTTCTTGTTTAAGTTGGTGAATGCTGCCATAATCCTTGCCACCAGTTCATCTTTGGTGTTACAAGGAATTTTGTTGGTCTCTTGTTCACTTGCATCCGACACATAATAATCAAGGGTGTTGCAGCCTGGGGAGTTAGGTGGCCAGATGTAAGGGGTGATGTGGATGCAGAAATTGTCTGACAGCCATAACTGGTTTTTCCTGCTTGTATAGCATGGTAAAGTGTCCTGTTGCCAGATATAGGGACTTCCAGCAACCACCCCTTGACCCAGGCAGCACTACCTCTTTAACGCACTCGAGTCTTAGGCCCTGTGGGAAAATGAAGGGAGGCATAACGTCAGCATCACTAGTGATCACTCCAAACACCTTCGTAATCACCATTAGACTCATCCAACTCTTTCCGAATTCTCTGCACGGCCTTCAGATTGACGCCAAAACACTGAAATGTCCGTATTGGAGTTTCCGGTGCGAATGCCAAGTAGTAAATTAAGCCGGTGTTCTTTTTCTCACAGACGGTGCCCAACTGGCCCTACTATACTGTGCAGTCGACAGAATTAAAAAAATAACAACGCGCATGCGCGAAATTAAAAAAAATATAAATAATTTACCCATCGCACCCTGTATTTGAACTATTGTTCTCATTCCACTGACCTTGTACAGAAATATCCAGTTCTTATTTATAATATTGTTCAGTTATTGCTCGTCCGTTTTCACTGTCGACTGCTCAACCCAGGGATTGAACTCAGGACAACTATATCACGAACCAACTATTTAATCCCTTAGCTCATTATTCCATGGATTACGTAGGAAACGGGTGTGCAGTAACTGAGCAGTACTAAATATAAGACGAGGTATCCATAATGAACAGTTGAACGAAAACAGTCTGCCCCCCCCCGTAGATTAAATATAGGGTTCAGTTCAGAATTCCCTGTGTGTTACCTAGATCAATATAAAGGGTGGCCCGAAAGTCTTGTTACCCCTATATAATATAATTTCTATTTCAGATGGCTGACACGAAAATGACGTGTTCATAGAGACCTTCTCAATGTGTAACAGCGTCAATGAAAGGGAATATACTGAATCTAGTACATGTGCTTTGTATTACTGTATTACTTCTGTTGTTCTCATTACTTAGTAGGGGGGTGATAAGAGTTTAGGACCACCTGTACACCTGAGGAAGGCCGGAAGGTAGAACGGCCGAAAGGTTGTTATAATAACTAAAACAAAAATGAGGACAATAGTCCGAACATAAATAGTCTAAATACTAATCTTACTTTGCAGTTAAGTACATATTTAGAGTACGGTAGTTTTTGTATGGCAGCATACACAGCGGATTCAAGGAAAATGTTCTCTACCATGAAAACTCAAGATCGCACACAGTAAGAAATTTTGAAACTCGGTGGCTCCTGTAATATTCACCTGACCTTGCGCCAAGCAATTACCTTCTTCGGTCGCTTTAAATGCTGAGAGTTTGCTCGAAAATCTCTTACACATCAACCCTGCAAAATTTTATTCAGATGTCAATCACAAACTGCTGCCTGATAAGTGGCAACAAGTAATTACAAAGATTGGATGAATATATAAATTGGAAAAAAAAATGTACTTTATTTTCCGAAGAATAAATTTGATAAACAAAAGCGGAAATTATTTATTCCTCAACCATATGCATGCAACTATTGTGAGTAACGTTCAACCTAGTTTCTAACAATTCTCGTCACAACAATCAATTTAAGTATTAAAACTTGGTAAATAAATTTAATGTTCAAGGTTTAATTTTGAGATTTTCTCTATATTACCAGAAAGATTCTTAGTGCAGAAGAAAAAATATGGCGTATGGTAAGCGGGGAAATCAAATGAGTAATAGTAAAGCCAGTGGGTATAAAAAAAAGATAAAATTTTGCCCTTGTAAATTAAATTTAAATGCCGTCTGAAAAATACAATACGAAAATGCAATTGCAATTTTTAATGTATTTTTCTCATCTACCGACAGAATTTACTGTGTTTCTAAATATATAATCATTAGAGTGAATGAGAATTTAAATATATTTATCTGATCAGATTCTTGATTTTCCTGATAAGAAACTTACTTTCAGAGAGAGAGAGAGAGAAAAAAGAGAAAAAAAAGAGAGAGAGAGAGAGAGAAAAAAGAGAGAAAAAAAAGAGAGAGAGAGAGAGAGAGAGAAAAAGAGAAAAAAAAGAGAGAGAGAGAAAAAAGAGAGAGAGAGAGAAAAAAAAGAGAGAGAGAGAAAAAAGAGAGAGAGAAAAATAAGTAAATGTTATATTCTGGTATCTTCTACATCTTTCTGATGATATATGATTATTGTAGCCATGCTATCAAAATACCTTGTCACAGATTTCCATAATGGCGGATTTGAAATTTGGGTGACGTCATGTCATATCTGGAGATGTGTGTGTGTGTGTGTGTGTATGTGTGTGTGTGTGTGTGTATATAGAAAGGCAATTTGTGAAATGATTTATCAAGTAGTAGCATATCATAAGAAATAAGGGCATTACGGTTTACTTTGTGGCTGAGGTAGTTTACTATTTCCTGACGGTGTTAGAATGTTGACATTCTAACAAAGACAGAAACCAAAAGGTCAAATATTGATTTTTCGTGAGTGGAAAGATGTCTTCACTTGGGAACCTCGTCCAATAGTCCTCATGGAATACTAATCAAAAGATACTAATAAAAACCTAGTAAATATCAATAAATACCTCAGAGTTCCCCTGTTTGTCACGTAACAGATTAAGGCGGATGTACATTTTCTTACCCTCTTTGTGACAATAGTTTTCAGAATGAATGAGAATGATTTGTCAACACAGAGAGCAAGTAAAATAACTCGGAAATAGTTGGCTGTAATTAAAACTATTCTAGTAACGGATAGATTAAAATGTTTCTTATATGCAGTGTGTGGGAGAGAAAGACAGAAGCCATAGAAACTTATTGGCAAAGTATTAAACATAGCTACTAAGACTTTCATTCATCTTATAATAAATTTCATTATCACTTTCAAAACTCGGTTTGGATCGGCTGATCGGGATAATATTCTGAATATAAATGATGTACTTTTAATTTTAATAGACTTATCTTTGTCATTACAACATTTCGGCCGTTGTGCTCCCTGGCCTTCAAGTGCTTGTCAGTCCGAGTAACTTTCATGGCATCTCCAACTGACCTCTTTAATTTACAGTGGTACGTGGGATCGTTCTCGTTCCATTGACCATATCTCGAGATATCTCATCTAGTTTTTTTTTTTTTTTTTTGTACTGCTCAGTTATTGCTAATCCTACGATAAAAATAATTACTACCATTTTCTTCATTTTCAGAATCATGTTCCTGTCTTAAATTTCTCCGAAGTTTTTCAATAGCATTTCCTCACACTTGCTCACTGATATTGTGGATTTAACCCGAACAGGATGCCAGACAACGTCCTTTTTTCCCCAGCCTAAGCAAAAGTAATTAAAATGTTCACATCTAAAACAACTAATATAAATGTTGTCTTGAATTTGGTCAATGTTCACAGTAACGGACTGAATTTAATCGTGAAAAAGAAATTCCTGCGCGAGACAAATCAGCTGAACGAATATTTTCCCGCTCTTTTATGGAAAAAGAAAAAAAGAAAAGAGTACTAAGAATGAAAACGTCCTCGAGCTGTTGGCGTCTGGTGACTGCAAGTGTTGAACAAACCAATAATTATAAGTAGTAAACGCTTAATTGAATAAAAGAGGCTCAATGACGGATTTTCAATGCGTTCCCCTGGACGGTCAATGTAAAAGATGGAACAGTGTTTAAGTCATCAGTTATCGCACCATCACATGCATGATGACGGTAATGTTAAAATTAGAAGTTTCCTTATAAGGAAATATTCGGTATTTATTTAACAAAGAGTCAGTGCTTCTGCTGGTTGATATTTTTAATATCTTTCTCATAAAACAATTTTTCAGGAAAATAAGTTTCTCAAGTCCAGTAACTTTTATTTACTTTTTCTAATACTGATGGGGGAATTCATTCCTGATATTTTGTTTGGGATAATGCCAAGCGTCAACATGTTCATTATATTATTTTCTCGTCGAGTTACAAGTTCTGTCCATTTTAATCATGGAAATCCAGTGATATGTTTTCTATTATTTTGTAAAAGTTGTTTGTGACACTGTAGCGTCAGTCAACAACATTCGAAAAAGGATAGTATTATACAAATACGTGAAAATGTATGTAAAAATGTAAATGTACACATATCTACGCATGCTCACGCACAAATATATATATATATATATATATATATATATATAATACCATATTGTAATTGGTAGTGATTATCCCAAAGAGGACTTTTAGTCCATATGATGAAAGGAATATACTTACATCCATCGATATATATTTATTATTGACATTGGATTTTTAAGGTGGTTATTATAATAATTATTATAATAACAATAAACTTACAAGTACAGCTAACACCTTACGAAGGACTATCACTGTAAAATGTATGATTTTTTTCAAAACTGCTCAGTGAACAATGTCATGATGCCATTTCTGACCTTAGAAACCAATGGAATATATATATAACCAAAGTGGACTTGAGTTTGGTCAAGAATGGATTAAAAAGACTACCGATATTTTGGGAAGTGGGTCAGGCCGATAACATTTCACCCCAATCCATCTTATTTGATTGTGCATTTTGACATTAATCAAGGTTTCCTTGAAAATGAGTGACAAAATACGTTTCTTTTTTTATTAGAGAAGACTGTCAAGGTGTGCAATTTTTCATATATTATAGCCAAAGAAACAAGAAAAAAAGAAGAAACCTCTTGTTTGTTCATAAGGAAAATACAACATAACGGAAACACCTTTTCAGTCATTTTGAATAAGAGACCGACACACACACACACGTGTGTGCGTACCCACGCACGAACAATCATGTGAACGCATGTAAAACAAGTGTACTTCTACAAGAAACAGGTGTGTGTGTGTGTGTATATATATATATATATATATATGTGTGTGTGGGGGGGTAAAAGGCTGCGGCCATTCTCTGAATTTCGAAGAATCGCCTTGTCTTTTTCGAAATTAATTTACTATCTTACTTCGGGCCAGAGAGACATTCTCTCTCGGAAGGGTTTTTATCATATATTCAGTCATAATAACGAAGAAAAACCCATTACTGCATAAAGTTTCTTAAAATGTTTCGCTTTTTTCTTTTGTCTAATCTACCTGACTGACTAGTTAATAGTTATTTTAGTGCTGGCGGACTTAAAGGTTTGGTAACCTCCATTCTAATAATCGGACGCCATACACTGATGCGTCAAATAGGTCCTGGAATCTAGCTTAGTAGTAGTTAATTAAAGGTAATCAATTTGAGCTAATTAGGGGGTATAAAACTAATTATTAAATAAAAAATGTCAAAACTTTCAGCCTATAGTGTATTCCTGTGGCCATCTCCACAAAACAAGTGATGACAACATTGCTGATGTTTCCTGTCGGATAGGAATGTGTGAGTGAGAGAGAGAGAGAGTGTGTGAGTGAAAGAGAGAGAGAGAGAGAGAGAGTGAGTGAGAGAGAGAGAGTGAGTGAGAGAGAGAGAGTGAGTGAGAGAGAGAGAGTGAGTGAGAGAGAGAGAGTGAGTGAGTGAGAGAGTGTGAGTGAGCGAGAGAGAGTGTGAGTGAGCGAGAGAGAGTGTGAGTGAGAGTGAGAGTGAGTGAGTGAGAGAGAGTGTGAGTGAGAGTGAGAGTGAGTGAGTGAGAGAGTGTGAGTGAGAGTTTGATTGTTGGTTTTAAAAGGTATATCAACCTTCATTAGGTCATTTTATGCCTAATAAAGTTTGATTGGATATTATGGTTTGCATTAAATTTCATTTGTGAATAATATTTTAGTATCATTTAGTTGAAAGCAGAGATAGCCTTTGTGAAGGAATTCATTTAAAGTTAATGATTTTGGTATGAAGTTCAGTTGAAGATTAGATTATTTTTGCTCATTTACTTACTTGTCAAGATTATTTATTGCTTAAATTTTTGAATATATCGTGATTTCCCTACGAAATTTACTTTTGTAAATTTTTGAGAGAAGAGTCGACCTTGAAAACAACTACAATAGGCTTAATACTAAGATTTTGATAGAGTATAGTTAAAAGTACTTTTGGAAAAGGAGAAACAAAAAGGGGGGAGAAACAAAAAAAGGGGGTGGAAAAAGGAGAAACAAAAAGGGGGCAAAGGACAGCAATAAAGGGGGGGGGGCAAAAACGTCAAAAAAGAAAAACCGAGTAGATAGTTGTCGATTTGAAAACAGATTCTACCAATGTACTCATATGGAATTAAAGCAAAAAATTCTTAAGAGAAAAAAAAAAAAACAATTTGATGAACTTTCCGCTTTCATTAAATAATAAAACAAGATGTAGGTGACTTCTTGATTGATGTCAGACTCAACATGAAACGGTGGAAGCCAAAGTTACAAAAAGTTTTTCGTTGCTACAGAATCTTGCTCAAAGACTAAAAAATGCTGCAAACTAAAATATTTATAGAGATAACTTTTTTTTTTTTTTACTGCAATCAATTTTCTTCCTTTTCTCATCTGTTTATTACTTGTTACAAATAATTTTCACTTCTGTGTATCAGTTAAAAAGAATAGGACAATTTTAAAATTATTATTTTCTCTTTCATTATCCTTTTTCAGCTGAAACGAATTACATTGAACTAAGACCTTGAACTGTGCAGCATGAAAAATTCATTCATATTTCGGAACAAATTAACACACTACAAACCTATGCATAAAACGTGTGTGCGCATATATATATGTGCACACATGCAAACCCACGCATCTCTAAATTATACGTAGATATGTATAAACAAAACTGTACACATGCACTTAGTGTTGATTCCACATCAGATATAGGTGTTCAATCACTTTCAATCGAACTACAACATTCTTAAAGATTTCTGTCTTAGAAAAATTCGGAAAATTTCAACTGAAAGAAAAAATAAACATTATTTGCCAATACATACCATCACATACACACAAAATCCCATCTATATATGTAAGAAGGCTTATTTTCCTGTTTTCTTGAAAAATATAAACCTTGACTCAGAAGCAAACAGCCAATCTGAAGTCCTCTTCTGATCCTAATGGAAGAGATGAAAATCCATCCAAATCCTCTCCCCATCACCTCACCCCCACATCTCTCTCTTTCTCTCATTTGATGTGGTTTTTCATTCTGATCCGCCAATCCAGAAGGGAACACAAACGAAGTGCCAATCAAGACGTCAGATGAATTCCTCAAGTCGCTAAAAACTCGTTTACATATTTTGATTTATTTTGTTCTTAAATATTAGTGAATAATGCTAGGAAAGGTGTGATTAGAGATCGGGGGAAACAAATAATTTGGATATGCTGAAGTTTCTGCCTGATTACGATTTGGTAGTCCATATTAACAAAATGATCAAGAGGGAGGAGTAAAGGTTACAAGAGTAATGAAATAAGTCTGTAGCATATTCATCATGAGAAAAAAGAAAGAAAAAAAATTAATTTGTTTTTTATTTAAGTTTTACATAAAAAATATTTTTCAAGATAATCAATTTTCTTGTTAATGCACTTAATCCAATGGATCTTTTGAACGATCAAACTTTAGTTAAAATTTCAGCTCAAAATATATTTATCAAAGTACAGACTAGTTGGTCTCATTCTGCTGAAACGGAGAATAATGATGAGTTGCATTTAATATCCAAATAATCCTACAAAATTTTAATTTCTTTTACGCTAATACTGGGAATGATATATATATATATATATATATATATATATATATATGTGTGTGTGTGTAAGGGAGAATTTAACTTCATACGATAGAAGCTCATAAACGAAGTCATTCAGTGAGGATCGATTAATGAAACTCACTCGTTCCACGAATTGAGTTTCTATTAACATTTGTTTAGTTCGTCACAAGGCTACACATGATAGGTATCCAGTAAGTCTAAAAATATAACTTATTTAGGTAAAAATAAATAAATTAAAAACAAAGCAAAACAACAAAAAAATAAAAAAGTAAATAAATAAAAAAAACCCAAAAAACAAAAAAAAAAAAAAAAAAAAAAAAATCAATTTTCATATAAGAACCAAAATAATTTCGTTCCCGCATCCGACAAATTATTTGGATTCTTATTTGACGGTCATATTTTGTTTAATAGAAGTCAGTCAGTTATGTACCATCTGTGATACACGTGTAGGCGATCATGTATCTTTCGATACATGACTGACGAGGCAGATTTTTCCCGCAGTAGGTTGCCATTTCTTTCTGCAGTGGACCAGCTGCCATCTAAGGCTACAGAACCCGGTGTTGTCCTGCTATTTACCTAGAGAAGAAGAGGATTTATACCTTTCCCAAGGGTATCAGCACGTAAGTGAATGTAATGGATTCCACTGGAATTCGAACTCGGCTCTCCGAGTCCTCAATCCGAGCCATTATCCATATAGCTATTCTATTCTATTTCTACAGAATAGAAGTAGAAAAAAGAGTAAAGCTTACTGCGAGGAGTTGGCCTCAAAGATTTAAAATAAAAAAAATCAAAAAAAAAAAAATCATGAAATTCAATTTATTTGACTAAAACCACTTCACCTATGATATTTATATTGTATATTCCATTAGTGAGAAGTAAGTTCCGATCTATCAGTTTTTCCCCATAAGCTGGTACTTTTTTTTTTTAAATTAAGTCCCGAGAGTTTCCTGTCCCGACAACTAAAATCTTAACCTGTTTAAGTCTAGAGTTAACCTATCACGTAGTACTCTTACCATTACACAACAAACTCCTTCAGTAAACCTTTACCTCGAGTGGTTCTAGGGCCTTGTATCGGGTGAACGTTACTATATATATGAAAATACACAGTATTACACTTATAGGTAACTATTAGATGATTTTCTTTAGCAGATAAAATCGTGTAATTTGGTTAAACTGACATTAATGAAAACTGCAACTATATTTGAGAAAAGTAAACAGATTTATAAAATACAAAAGTCGCCCATATATATATATATATATATATATATATATGAGAGAGAGAAAAGAAAGAAACGCTTGAGCGATTCCCGGAGCAAAAATATTTTAAACATGAACATGGTTTTCAAATATACTTTTATTTTTTATTTTTTAAAATTTTTCTCCGCTTTCGTTTAGAGATAACCGATAATTTATCGTAATCATTGGATAAATCTACCTCCAGAGATTATGAGACGTGAAGAACAGTTCTTGATTTTTACCGCATTTTCATTTCCCTTCATGAGAGAGAGAGAGAGAAAAAGAGAGAGGCCTTTTCAAATGAAACAATTCGTCTGGTTGCGACAAAAATGGCCAAAAAGAAAATACCATGACGTTCATTCCATACGAATTATCTGCGTCAACATCTGACGGTACTTGTTCTTTCCTTAACGAAGAGGAGGAAATTTTGTTGAGTAAACTAAAGCGAGTCAGAAGGAGGCCAAACACTGAATAACACTCGAGAAGGTTTGTCTTCCGGCTAAAAACGATTACAATAAGAAACTGATCTATGCTTTGTTTTCTTTCCTTTATGATTGAATCTTCCTGACGGCCGGAGATTTCAGATCTTAAAGTACTTTTAGCGAATTCGGCATTAATTTTACTTGTGAAGGAATTTCTGCAGATATATCTCTTGTTAATATTGATTCCTTGTCAATAATTATACAAGTAATGTAATAATAATGCCAAAAATACAAACACATAATATGAGCACTAATTTTGAACAGAATAGTAAAAGGCGATATTAAGACTCGTACAACTGCAAGTACTCTTAAGTCTGCAATTGTACAAAAATATTTTGTCTAAAAGTTTAGCACTCTGAAATTTATTTTAACCGAGGTATATCGTTTGTAAAAACATTACATATATGTGGTTAAACTATGACAGAATGAAAATGTTGAATATATTTGATATAATATATATTGAAAAATATAAAATATATATATATATATATATATATATATATATATATATATATATATATATATTTTGTATTTTTCAATCATTCATTTTATCAAATATATTCACCATTTTCATCTGTCATAGTTTAACCACATATATGTATATATTATATATATATATATATATATATATATATATATATATATGTATATATGTGTGTGTGTGTCTAAAAAACGTATTTGATTACTTAATGTTCACTATTTTGGTAAGGATCTTTAGATTAGGTTATAATTTTACAACTGAAAACCTTAACCAAAAGGGTGAAAATCAAGTAACCAAAGTGATATACATTTTACATTTTATAAGCTGTATACAGTATTGAGTACTTTGTTAAATATATGAACGAAGAATATTTTAAATGTAAACAGGGTTTTTAGTAAATAAAACGTCCGATGGGTAAAATGTCGCCATTTTATATTTTTAATTTCGCGCATGCGCGTTGTTTTTATTTTGTTTTGTCAACTGCACAGTAAAGTAGGGTCAGTTGCACACAGTCTATCAGAAAATGAGCACCATGACGCAATTCATTCCACCAGAAATTTAGAAACGACATGTACTGCTTGGCATTCGCGCCGGATGCTTCAATCCGAACATTTTACTTGGGTGTCAATCCGAGGACAGTGCAGAGGATTCGGAAAGGGTTCGATGAGTTGAATGGTGATTACGGAGGTACGGCAGCTCGGAAAAACTCACTAATACTTCTGATAATAAAGAACTCCCGATTTTAATGGTGAGTGCCTCAGACTTAAAACGGAGGCTATATTAAGTGTCTTGAGGAGGTTGTGCTGCCCTGGATCAAGAGGGTTGCTACTG